ATGTGTGTGTGAGAGCGTGCGTGCGTGTGTGTGTGTGTGTCGTAGCTTTCCCAAAGGACTTGTTCTTTCCTTACCGGAGCGAACACGGTTAGTTTTGCTGCAGTCATGCTAACGGGACTCGTCTGGAGTCCAGAAGTAGCGGTGCGGTTCTAGATGGATTTATAGACGTAGGTTATTATTTTAGATCAGACCTGTTATTTAAAAATGCGTGTAGGACACGGACACATGGCTCAGACCTTTTGCTGCAGCTGTAAACGCAATTTTACGTAACAATTAGGAGCATGAAAGTAAACAAATAACAGTGATTCACAATACTAGCATCAGCAGCTAGCTTGTTTTACGTGCTGGAGTGATGTATGCGAAACACAGTTCTTCACTGTCTAGAGGAGAGGATTTGGATTTTCTGTAATCATTTATGACAAAAGTCCTTAATAAAATAAAAAACCGAACCCAGTACATGTTTATATAGATAATAAAGTGTAGTTATTTTGCATTTCTACAATTTTAATGCCGAGCCAATACCTTTAACCCTTCACCACTGAAATCAGTTTGTTCATTCCAATCCTCCTAAATAATCCTCCAATCATCCAACTGGAATCCTTAAGGGTCCCGTAACATCCATCCTGTCAGAACAGGCCGTGGGAGCCCAGGTGTTACTAGAACTAACGGTGTCTCCTCACCAGCGTGAGCCTCCAAACTGTGAAGGTTGGTCTCCAAACATGAACCTTAAATTCATGCATTTATCTCCTCTTGTAACACTTTAACATGTTTTAAAAGGCTTGCATCATGATAAGTTACACCTCCCAGACCAAAGATAGGTCCAATATAAGATGAAACATTATCATAAACACTGCAGAGACATCATTGTTTATTAAATACAAGTTATTTTCCTGAGCCATTACTTCAGCCAAGATATAGGATGCATGGATTTGATGAAGCCATGCTGTCTTATGCAGTCCTACACACACACACACACACACACACACACACACACACACACACACACACACACACACACACACACACACACACACACACACACACACACACACACACACACACACACACACAGCAGCAGCAGCAGCATCATGTTAGAATCATGTGAATGACTAATTTAACTTCACTGAACTGCTTTAGTAATAATTTAATCTCTTATTCTGGAGTAAAATAAAGAAACAAGCTCAATCATCACATATCTGTGGCATCAAGGAGCATTTTCTGAGTTCAAACACAGGGATGGAGCACAATGTTTACACCTGAACAGTATCAGGATTAACTCACGGAGGCCTGCAGGTCTTCTGTTTTATGAGCAGAGCGCTGATGATCCGCTTCTTAGGAGCGCTAAACGTAATTTTGCCGCTTCCGTGCGGAGCGGTATGGAAACACATTTCAAACACGGAACCGAGTCTGGTTGCCGAACCGAGCAGAATTCTGATGACGTCACACCGGTGCGCGAAGGTGCGGGTTCCAACCCACAGGAGAGGAGGGAGAGAGGAGGTAAACAGCGAGTGGATCACAGAACTTTTGTTTTTGAGCAAAACTGCGGTAAAAATGGCTGTTTGTCCTCATCATAAAGCGTGTAGACCCCCCCTCCCCGGTTTAGACGTGGTGCTCATGCAGGTGTCTCTTTCTGTTCCGACGCTGCTACACGTACTATTTTTAATTTATTAAGCCTACAATTTATTTTTACTCAGTAACGAATATGATTTAAAATGTAGCGAATTACAATTCTTTTTTAAGAACTTACTCAAGTAAAAGTAAAAGTACAGATTTTAAAAACGACTTAAAAAGTATAAATTTACAAAAAAGCTACTCAATTACAGTAACGTGAGTAAATGTAATTCGTTACTTTCCACCTCTGGGTGTTGAACAGCATCTCATCTCACTCTGCTCCATTCCCGTGTGGGGTCCCGCAGGGATCTATTCTTGGGCCTTTGTTGTTTTGTCTTTACCTCCTTCCCCTCAGCTTAATCCTAAAAAAACACTATGTTCAATATCAATTATATGCTGACGACTGTCAGATTTACATGTCGGTGAAACCCCAGCAATCCATCCAGCCTCTTCTAGACTGCCTACGTGATGTGAAATGTTTGCTGGCCACAAATTTTCTGCATCTCAACGATTCCAAGACTGAACTGATCCTGTTTGATCTGGTCAGATCTAGCTCATTCCAAACCCCAGATCTTTCATCTATTTCTCAAAATCTAAAAACCGTTGTGCCAAACCTGGGTGTGAAGATGGAGTCATAATTCTAGACTAAAGACACACCATTTTACCCTTGCTTTTAACAGTTAGCTGTTAGTTTGGCTTTTACTACTCTTATTTTATCGTCCATTGTAAAGTTTCATTGGTTTTATTGTTTTTTTTTTTTGTCGGTTTGTCTTTTTCTTATTGTTGGCTGTATTTTATAGTACTGTTTTATGTTTTTTTATCTCTATTATTGTGCGACTGTTCAGCACTTTGGTCAGCCATATGGCTGTGTTTTTAAAGTGCTATATAAATAAAGGTGGTATGGTATGGTATGGTATGGTATGGTATGGTATGGTATGGTATGAACCAAATCATGTCAGATTCTACAGATCTGTTCTGTGGGGTACCCCAGGGCTCTGTTTTGGATTCCGTTTCTGCTGTACATACACCCTCTTGGGACAGATAATTGATTCTTTTCACAATGTCTCTTATCACCTATATGCAGATGATATTCAGCTGTACTGCTCCTTTAAGGATTCTGAGTTCTACAAACTGAATTACTAGAGTGTCTATCAGTGATCACAAGCTGGCTAGAAGAAAACTTCCTTCAGTTAAACTCTGAAAAGACTGAATGTCCGATCATCGCCCCTGAGAGCATGGTTCCCCTGATTAGTCTAAAACTGTCATTTATCCTCTGTCGTCAAGACAAACTTAAGGAATTTGGGTGTTTTTGACCAATCAATGTCTCTTGAAGGTCACTCAAAAACGTTGGTCCAAAACTGTTTTTATCACTTAAGAAATATCTCCAAACTGCAAAGGTTGGTGTCAAAACATGAACTTGAAATGGTTCTCCATGCCTTAATCTCCTCCCGTCTAGATTACTGTAACACACTCTTCACATGTTTTAACAAAAAGCCCTTGGCCGCCTTCAGTTGGTCCAGAACTCTGCAGTGAGGCTCCTAACTGGAGCAAACAGAAGAGCACACATCACTCCTATTCTGGTGTCTCTGCACTGGTTACCTGTTAACTTTAGAGTTCATTTTAGAGTCCTGACTAGAACTTTCAGGGCTCTACATGGTCAAGCTCCTCCCTATATTACTGACCTGTTAAAGCCTTATGTTCCAACCCGAGCCCTCAGGTCCACCCACCAGAACCTTCTAGAAGTTCCAAAGACCAGATATAATCTGGAATGATCTTCCTTTATCCTTACGCAGCATTGACGGTCCTGGGGTGGGGGTGGGGTGGGGGTGGGCGGGCGGTGGGGGGCGTTTGGGGGGGGGGGGGGGGGGGAGTGGGGGTGCACGTGGTTAGTTAGCATTCCTCCTACGTCCGTCACAGCTGTGGGTGGGGTTTGAGCGGGTGCGCTTTACCGACTTCCGGGGATGTTTGTTACCGGAAGACAAGATGAACGGGTCTCTACAGGGACGCGGCTCTCATCAATCACTTTGAAAACCCATTCAAAAGATTTGATTTGTTCGTGAATGTCACATCACTAGGGGGAGCACGAGTGAGTGGGCTCATCAGACACAGTCCTGGCCAGGCTGGGTGCACGCCTCGCTGGGCTTCCTCCACAAAGATGGAGCAGCAGATCTGCACACCTCTGAACGCAGCACTGCCGCTGTGCTGTTAAAAGGGGAGAGGCAAGTTACCGAAACTCTTCAAATTTCTCTGCAGCAGCAACCTCAAAGCCCCGAAGCCTCTGCTAGCTAACGGTTTACAAGTTTCGGTACCCAGTCAGCCAGCCAGCCCCACCAACATATTATAATTCAACCCATCTTTGAGCAAGCAGCATTTCCCCCATTCAACAAGCAAAAAGAAGCAGAAACTGCTTGAATGATCTGCTAGTGTAGTCAATAACCACAGTTTGCCCTCTTTGTTGGAATCATTTTATGATTAACATCCAAACACAAACACACAGAGGACGCAACCAAAGTTCAGAGTCAAAAAGGCCGTACATCCACTAAGCATTAAATTACACTTAAACAGACGAGTTAAAATAAATTCACCCCCTCAGAGATGTCATGAATGTAAATTAGATCTGATAAACCTAAAATAATTTCTGAACCAGGCTGTAAACATGCTTATTTCTGCTGTGAAATTGACATTTTTAACATGGGAGTCAACGAGGATTTGCTCACTTCTGGTGCCACCCCCTAGTGGATGAGAGCGGAACTGCAATTTTTCCCACTTCTGTGTTGGCTTCATCAAATTCAGACCAAATGGCCCCTTGGTTAGGAGGCGTAGCTTTTGGCTCTTTCTGGAAGGGTGGGGGGGTTGTTATCATGTACAACAACACGTTAGTGTCTCTCAGAACCAATTAAACGAGGAAGATACATTTTCTTTAATGTTTAGTTTTAGGATTAAAGTGAAAAACTTGACAATGTATTCTCTGAGTAAGGCTAACTGTCAGCCTAGTCTGAAGGGTTACAGGCACTAATGTGAGTTTGGAAGAGCCTGGTAGGTATTTAACTCATTCATTCTAGCTTTTGCAACATTTCCTTACAAAAATCTTCTGTTTTCCATAAATGGTGAATCTGGAATAAACAATATTTAATATGATAAACACACAAGCAGTTCAATTTGAAGTGAAACACATATCTGTGGAATTTGTGTCTTATCTCCATGTAGCCTTCCAAGCTGCTTTTTACTGTAAATCCTTTTAAATGAAATCACAATCTTTCAGCTATTTTAGGAGGTCAAGTTCTCATGAGATTAGAGTGGGTGATGGAGCAGAGGAATGTCTGGTAACCGCTATATTCTACAGAAAGTGTTCAGACTGTAACGTGTGTGTGTGTGTGTTTTCTGTCCAGGTCCTCGATGTGTTGTGTTCTCTTTGTGTGTGTAACGGTGTTGCAGTGCGCACGAACCAGCACCTAATTTGTGATAACCTACTGCCAGGAAGGGATCTGCTACTGCAGACTCGTCTGGTCAACCATGTGAGCAGGTATACACACACACACACACACACACACACACACACGCACGCACACACACACACACACACACACACACACACACACACACACACACACACACACACACACACACACACACACACACACACACACACACACACACACACACACACACACACACGCACGCACACACACACACACACACTTACACTTCTTTGAGAAGGGTAAGATGGTGTGCAGAGTTTTTTAGTTTTGTGCCTTTTCCTCTTTGTTCAACAGCATGAGACCCAACATCTTCCTGGGTGTCAGCGACGGCTCGGCGCAGTATAGGAAATGGTACTATGAGCTGATTGTGGACCAGGTGCAGCCATTTGTCACAGCAGAGGCCACTCACCTGAGAGTGGGCTGGGCCAACACCAGTGGCTATGCCCCCTACCCCAGTGGCGGAGAGGGCTGGGGAGGCAACGGCGTGGGGGACGATCTCTACTCCTATGGTTTTGATGGACTTCATCTTTGGTCAGGTGAGCTGTATGGTGTTTGCTAGGACTAGAGTGGGCTTTTTCAGTGGTGTGTGTGTGTGTGTGTGTGTGTGTTTATGTATTTACTAACTACTGAGCATCATCGTGAGGTTTTAACCAACAGAATGAGGACATTTTTGGAGTTAAAGTTTACATTACGGGGTAAAAGTTCGGCAGACGCGTTTGTTTATATCTGGGTGGGGGAGGGGGGACGGTGCTGCACACAGACAGCCGGTGTGATCAGCTCTGAAAAGCTTTGATCACAATTTGAAGATCATGTTTATTTTTCACATAGATCGTCGCCGGATTCCTCTTCCGGTCGGCATTCTAGGAATCAAAATAAAAAACTTTGAACAATTCTGGGAAAAACTAACAGTTGTTCCCGGTTCCAATCGATGCTCGATGCCCAACCCTAGTCCTCACTCATTTTAAATGCTTCCTAGTTGGTTTTAGAGGTATGGTGTGATTTAAGTTTTAGTTCAGGTTAGGGTTAGGAACAGATCAGCATGGGTTATGGTTAGGTTATGGGTTAGGCATAATAATGAGCACCTTGAATGGTGCTCTCGTGGTCTGCCTGTATCTGGTTTGTTCTACATGCTTTGGGACGTTGGGGTCCTGACCGTAAAGCATATTCTGATTCTGATGGTCACAAAAATGAATGGAAGTCAAGAGAGGGTCCTCACTAAGATAGAAAGATAGACGTCTGTGCGAGTGTGTGCGTTACGCACACCCACCCTAGGATTCAGAGGTTGTTCTCTGCATCAGCATCTGTCTGCATTCCTTCGTGGGGGTTTGTTGCTAGCATCTCGAGGCTGCTCTGGCATCAGATTCAGATAACAAAAATTTGTTTGGGTCAGGTTGAGATAATTTTCCTCTCTGCCTTCAGTCTTTACTGATCATTCCGGTCCCTCAGTGAAGCCATTTTAGGTTTTTTAACTTGTCCATACCGTCCGGTGACCCTCTCCGAGATGACATCCATTTTGCGCACTAATACCGGTAACGCCGCTAGAACGTTGTCCAGCTTACGATTCACCTCGAGTAGCGTCCCAGTCTGAAAAGTCTCCACACGGACGGTGCTTTCCGTGGGTGCGGGTCGCCCTCCAATCGCTCCCGTCCTCCCAAATTTCCAGAAGCCTCCCACTCCAATCAGAAGAAATCCAGTGATCATCAGACCAAATATCCACACGTCTTCGACGTCCTCAATGGACAGCTGGCTGAGGCATACGACCTTCCACTCCTTCCAGGAATCCAGCTTATACCCCGCTGGGTGTGTCCACTGCGGGCAAGTGGGAGCCCCCTGCTCCGTTCTCATTGTTGAAAAAATCTTATCAATCGTGTTGAATGACCATTTTATCAAATCCATGGTTAAAAAATAGGGTTTTTCAGCAGAAATGCAGAGAAGCGCTCTGTGGGCAGACAGGACAAAGCCTTGGGAAAAAAAAGATAAGGGAGCAAAAGGAGAAGCGTCTGTACTCTGTGAGTGCCAGGAAGAAGAATCCTTATCCTTATCATTAGTAAGTGTAACGGCCAAAAGGGTCAATTTTCTCCTATATATTGATCAACATAATAACCTTTCATGTACATAAATAAATCCACTCTCTCTTTGACCTTCTAAATCCAGAATGTTCTGCTCAGGGCGTGTTTACATACAGAAGACCAGGGGCGGATTTAGGACTGAAGAAGATCCGGGGCTTAACACACACGCGCACACACGCGCACGCGCACACGCGCGCACACACACTAGCGCGCACACACGTGACACGCACTAGTCAACATCATATATATATATATATCTTGTACCACATAATTTTTAATCTGAAGCTACATATGAAGCATATTCAGGACAGAGTATTGTTCCTGTTAGTGTTTAGTGTGAGATGATAGGAAATATTCCCGCTCTTTCTCCAACAACTTTACCTGATAGTAAGCTAACTTTAGGCAAACCAGCAGCACAACAAATATTTTCAAATAAGACTCACAAACCTGAGTCAACACCAGTCTCATTAGAGCTGGGGTTCTGTCGTTGTACTTTTGGTCTAAAAAACGTCCTTATGTCCATCTTCACTCATGCGTTTCAGGCAGAGAGTGTAGAAGAAGCCGGCTGCTGAAGGGCTTCTTCTTCAGTGGTGGAGGCTCGGGCAGGCTGTATATCAATTAAGTAACCTAGTGGTAGAGTGTCCGCCCTGAGATCGGGAGATCAGGGGTTCGACTCCTGGTCGGGTCATACCAAAGATTTTGAGAAAAATGGGACCCAGCATTAAGGGGTTGGATTGGGGGGTTAAACCACCAAATAGTTCCCGAGCGCGGCGTGTCTGCAACTCACCGCTCCCCCAGGGGATGGGTCAAATGCGGAGACTAAATGGGACTTTACAAACTACTGCCAGCTGCGCTCTCTCTGTTGGACTTTGGTACTGCATGTTACTTCCGCGATGTAGATCCGGGGCTTATCATGAAAGATCCGGGGCTTCAGCCCAAGTAGCCGGGCCTAACGCCGCCCCTGCAGAAGACCAAACATCCAGACAAACATTATCTCCCAAGGTTCCTGCACTCTCTGTGAAAGCCAGATGTCAACAGTCTTCACTCTGAATAAGTGAAGACTTCATGATTTTACAGTTATAAGTAAATAATCATGTGTGATGAATGAACAAGACGCTTAAATGAAATGTTTGAATAATCTGTGCTTAAATCAATGAATTTGAAATGAATATTGTTCCTACAATGATCCATTTATATCACAAATCACTGTGTGATGATTTAACAAGTTACCGTATTTTCCGGACTATAAGTCGCACTTTTTTTCATCGTCTGGCTGGTCCTGCAGCTTATACTCTGGAGCGGCTTTTATACCAAATTATGTATACCGCGCTGCTGCGGGCCGGCTCTTGACCAGGAATAAGCTCCTCTGCCCCGCCATCACCTGCTGGAGACCGTGGCGCGCTGCTGCGGTCTGGCTCCGGTCCAGATTTCAGCTCCTCTGCCCCGCCATCACCTGCTGCAGCCTGTGGCGGGGTGGTGCGGGCCGGCTCCGGCCCAGGAATAAGCTCTCCCTGCCCGCTGGGAGGGTTTGAATCACCGCCATCCTCTGCTGGAGACTGTGGCGCGCTGCTGCGCCCTGGTTGTTTATTCTGTTATGTTTACCGGTACTTGTCTTGCAATGTGAAATGCTTGGTCTCAGTTTTGTAAGAAAAATAATAAAATTTCCCCCCAAAATGCAACTTAAAGTGGTGTGAAAAACTATTTACCCCCTTCCTGATTTCTTATTCTTTTGCATGTTTGTCACACAAAATGTTTCTGATCATCAAACACATTTAACCGTTAGTCAAAAACAACACAAGTAAACACAAAATGCACTTTTGAAATGATGGTTTTTATTATTTAGGGAGAGAAAAAATCCAAACCTACATTGCCCTGTGTGAAACAGTATTTGCCCCCTGAACCTAATAACTGGTTGGGCCTCCCTTAGCAGCAATAACTGCAATCAAGCGTTTGCGATAACTTGCTACGAGTCTTTTACAGCGCTCGGGAGAAATTTTGGCCCACTCATCTTTGCAGAATTGTTGTAATTCGGCTTTATTTGAGGGTTTTCTAGCATGAACTGCCTTTTTAAGGTCATGCCATAGCATCTCAATAGGATTCAGGTCAGCACTTTGACTAGGCCACTCCAAAGTCTTCATTTTGTTGTTCTTCAGCCATTCAGAGGTGGATTTGCTGGTGTGTTTTGGGTCATTGTCCTGCTGCAGCACCCAAGATGGCTTCAGCTTTAGTTGACAAACAGATGGCCGGACGTTCTCCTTCAGGATGTTTTGGTAGACGGTAGAATTCATGGTTCCATTTATCACAGCAAGCCTTCCAGTTCCTGAAGCAGCAAAACAACCCCAGACCATCACACTACCACCACCATATTTTACTGTTGGTATGATGTTCTTTGTCTGAAATGCTGTGTTACTTCTACGCCAGATGTAACGGGACACTTGCCTTCCAAAAAGTTCTACTTTTGTCTCATCAGTCCACGAGGAATTTTCTCAAAAGTCTTGGCAATCATTGAGATGTTTCTTAGCAAAATTGAGACGAGCCCTGATGTTCTTTTTGCTTAACAGTGGTTTGCATCTTGGAAATCTGCCATGCAGGCCATTTTAGCCCAGTCTCTTTCTGATGGTGGAGTCGTGAACACTGACCTTAACTGAGGCAAGTGAGGCCTGCAGTTCTTTAGAAGTTGTCCTGGGGTCTTCTGTGACCTCTCGGATGAGTTGTCTCTGCGCTCTTGGGGTAATTTTGGTCAGCCGCCCACTCCTGGGAAGGTTCACCACTGTTGCATGTTGTTGCCATTTGTGGATAATGGCTCTCACTGTGGTTCGCTGGAGTCCCAAAGCTTTAGAAATGGCTTTATAACCTTTACCAGTCTGATAGATCTCAATTACTTTTGTTCTCATTTGTTCTTGAATTTCTTTGGATCTTGTATTCATGATCTAAATGATCATGAATACATTTCTCAATTGATTTTGAACATGAAATAATTTAAATATTAATAAAATTTACCCAAAAAAAATTCACACAGTTTTAACCCCTTTTCGGATAATTTATTTTATTTAAGTGTTGTTTCGGATAAAAGAGGGTAGAGCTGAAACTGAAAATAATATTCAAATAATCAAATATAAATTTTCGACGTTTTGTTTTATGTATCACTTCCGGGTTATACAACATCCTCCTGGTGTGACTTCCTGGTTTCGTGACGTAATGCTCAAACAAATTATAGTCAGCGTCAGCAACAGAGGCTTTTTAAAACATTTAAAAGTAATGAGGTGTTCATACGTTCATTAGGGGAAGTAAAAAGTGTAAGAGATTACTTGTAGGTGTACAAATGTCATTTATTAATGTTTTTAATATAATGTTGTAGATACTGAACAGTTCTGGTGTCTGATCATCAGATAGAAACACACGATGGAATGGGCCTGTTCATCTGTCCGATGTTCCGATGGTACGTCTTCTACGGCTGGAAAGTTTAC